GCATACGGTGAAGCATGCCAAGGTGTATACCTGCACTATCTGTAGTCGGGCATACACGTCGGTGAGTGCGCAGTGCCTTCCTTTACTTCCCTCTGGGCCTGTGAGACCATGGTCCACTTCACCCCACCTCTCTGGATAAAGAGCTGTTGCCTTGAATATGCTTGCTCCCTAGCTCCCAGCTTAACCAGAATCGATAAAGAGAACAGAAATGACACAGACATGTAGCTCGGGAATTGAGGGGGATGCCTGAGCTCTTAAGCCTATAGAGAAAGATTGCTAAGCAATGATTCTTTGTTTTGTTTTGTTTCGTTTTTTTTTTGTTTTGTTTTGTTTTTGGCTAAGCGGTGATTCTTAATTTTACTTAAATACAAGGCAAAATAATGCAACTTGCAACTTGCAGTTTTGGGAGAAAGATTTTTTAAATGGCTCCAGGAAAAGGTGGTAAAGTTGTTCCATTCAAAGATCTTTGAGAAAATGATGCTTTCCCTGTGCCAACTGAATGCCCCCTGTGACTCCAAAGGTCTCCCTCTCCTTTCTGCCCAGTATTGAACACTGAAAGAGGCTTCTGGAGAGAATTTGCCCATGGCTCCAGAATGTCCCCGTATAAGTATGGCTCTATTTGAAGTAAAGTAAGAGCCCAGGATGCCAGTTATAAGTAACCTCTTTTCTTCTCTTTAATCCCTCAACTCTTTTTCACATCTCCTTCAGGAAACGTACCTTATGAAACATATGCGCAAACACAACCCTCCTGATCTCCAGCAACAAGTGCAGGCAGCAGCGGCGGCAGCGGCAGTGGCCCAGGCCCAGGCCCAGGCCCAGGCCCAGGCCCAGGCCCAGGCTCAGGCTCAAGCCCAAGCCCAGGCTCAAGCCCAGGCCTCCCAGGCATCGCAGCAGCAGCAGCAGCAACAGCAGCCACAGCCACCACACTTCCAGTCCCCTGGGGCAGCCCCCCAGGGTGGGGGTGGTGGGGACAGCAACCCCAACCCTCCACCCCAGTGTTCCTTTGACCTGACCCCCTATAAGACGGCGGAGCATCATAAGGACATCTGCCTCACTGTCACCACCAGCACCATCCAGGTGGAGCACCTGGCCAGCTCGTAGAGACCTGTGCTGCCACCCACTGGGAAGAGGGGAAAGAAGTTCTGGTCCCTTCTTTCTCCAACTTCTCTTGGTGGGAAAAGTCTTCTTCCTTGACAGGCCTTGCCTCCATCTCCTTGGGCCTCAGGCACGGCCTTCCTACACAGGATACCATGCTTATTCTCAACTCCTCTTCAAAAAGAATATCAGCCCTCCTGATTGGCAAAGGAATAAGGAGCTGGTAGTGTAATCCAGCAGCCTCCCCTTCCAAGCATAGCTTTTCAAAATTGGGGGTTGGTGCTCAAGGGAGGGATTTGCTATGACCTCATAGAAACGTTTCCAGTGTGGGCACTTACCCTCTCGTTACCCTCATAATCCTCAAAAGTTGGGGCTGGTGGAAGACTAGAGGCTGGTCCTCCCAGATCTCTGAGAGAAGGGAGCCCTAAATGCAACCAGCCTCCTGTTCTATTCTTGCCTGCAAAAGAACGGAGGTTTCTCACACGCCCCGATGAGCGGGAGCCGTCTTCCCCTCGTGGTCTCACTTCACTTCCTACCTAATGCTGGAAGAGGGAGATCTCAGTGGGGGTCAGACCCCCTTTATTTGTAAGGGGCAAGGGCTGAGATGTGGTCCCCAAGGGGCCAGAGATCCCCAAAATGGTCAAGGGTGGCTTAGAAGTGTGGGTTATGGTTTTCCTTGGGGCCTCTCCCCTTCTCTGCCAGCCAAGGCCCTATACTCGGTCTCCCAGTCCCAAAGCCAGAGGAGCTGTGGGAGCTTTGTGTTCTTTATGAAAGCCCAAAACAAAGGGTGTTGCAGAGAAGGGAGAGTTCAGGGCAAACACAAGGACTGGACTTAGCTCCCTAGGTGCCACGGTCAATTGCCGGACACGGATTTATATATAAATATATATATAAATATATATATATACCCACTCATCACGGCCATCTTTGTTGTAACCATTTCTGTGTTTATAAATGCATTATCTCTCAGAATTTTCATATTTGATGTTTTGTTTATTTTTGTCTTTTTTTGTTTTTCTCCACCCTGTCTTCTGGCCAACGGCATTTTTATTTCCTTTTGCCCTTTTTGTTTGTTTTTAAATCATGGCAGATTTCAGAGAAAAGACAAAATGAAAAAAAATCAGGAAATCAGTTGTTATAAAGCAATTTAAAATGAAGAAAAAAAACCTTATGTACAAACCAAGGGGTGTTTTTAGAACCTTGTATAGAAATAAATTCGTGTAAAAGGATCAGAGGCAGTGGAGCTACTGATGTGAGCGAGCATGGGAAGAAGCTATCTGGGGAGATGTTCAAGGACAGTACTAAGGATTTACACTAGAGTGTGTGTCTGTGAAGAGTGAATGCTGTGTGATGAGGCTCTGTGTGTGTGTCCCCTAGTGTAAAAGGGCACAGCTTTGATAATTCAAGTGAAATCTTGGTTTATGAGAGTTTCTACATACAGATCCTGTCAAGGGGACTGTGATGCCTAAGTCTGTGACAGCAAGGTTTCAGTCATGTGTTAATAAAACCATGAAGCTCCCTGTCAAAGAAATGGAAGCATGTCCTCTTGAAAGGGCCTACACTCCTGCCTGAGCATCACTGGGCTCGGTTGTAATTCCAACTGGCAATGTGTGTACATACATATATCTATTATCCTATCCATATATGTAGGCTTGCAGTGGTGGAAGCCATAACCAGAACTGAGTAGCGAGGCAGGACAGTTGTAGTGCTGAGCAGAATGTGGTCAGGAAACCTGGACTTTCGCCTTGGCTTTACCGCCAACCGGTGTTGACTAAGAAGCTTCAGCTGTTAAGTAAAGGGATTGGACTAGATCACCTCCAAGATTCCGTTTTGAGAATTAAAAACCTTTAAGCACTGAAAAAGTTGTGACAAAGCGCCCAACACCCAACGGTGTGGCCGTCCTCTGTGTACGGCTGGGGAACTGTGCTCATTACCTGGTGGGATTTGTATAGTCAATGAATTGATGCCCACTTAAGTTTTGGGCTCGGCTAGTCTGTTGGGTGGACGTCCAAGATATCTCAATCTGTGGTGTGGCACTAATGAATGTATCCCATATGACAAAATATGTCCGTGTGTGTTAGCTTCCTGAATATTCCTTTTTTCCCCTGCTCTCACCAATTGCTGAAAATGCCCTGACCGTCCTATCTTCACAAGTATTAGAACCAGAATCTACTCTTTTTAAGGATTCATTCACACTCATTCGTAGCAGGAACTCTATGAGGTAGGTACTGTTATTCTCACAGAGAAGGACATAGGCACAGAGATTAAATTGCTTATCCAGGGACATGACAGAGTGGTCTTCTAGATCCAACTGCTGTATCTTACCACCTGCTCAGTAGTAAACCTGAGGTTTCACCTTACCCTTTTTCACATACTTGGTCTAAATTAGGTGGTTGAAAATCTGTATCATTAAAGCCCTGCCCTGCGGCATTGATAATTACCAAGAATTTGTGAGGGGTGACAATCTCCATAAAGCGATTTTACTAACGCCACTATTAGGTTATGTGCTTTGAGTTGTCTCCCAGTGTGATGGCAGTCTGTCGTGCACTGGATTGCTTTCCATCCTCATGGAGGATGAGTCCTCATGAGGAAGAGTCCTCATTCTGTAGCTGACTGGGACGACAGCTGTCATCTAACTGGCCCAGTTGTGAGTTCTGTGCCCCAATCCTTTCCAAATCGTGGTGTTAGTTAACATCATATATAAACGGGGGGGGGGGGGGGCGGGGGGGGGGAGACAAAACTAAGAGGGCAAGGCCGGAAGTAGTATGTCATTTTATGTGTGTGTATATGTATTCAAGTATAAAAGGACATGAATCCGGACAAGAGGTGTGGAGAATTATAGCTTTATTGTGTAACTCTTAGTAAAGAGAGATTATAAAAAAAATAATAATCCAGGAGAGCTGATGTGCGTGTGAGTGAACAGAAAGGCGGAGGGTTTAAATCTCACAACACCAACTATGGCTCCCCAACTTCGTTAAGAAACTAGCTACCTTGAAGAAAGTCTGGATTCAGCCGGGACCTCCTCTGGTCACTAGACTCATACCCGGCAAAAAGGAAAAAAGAGTCTCCAGACGCTGAAAAGGGATATTTATGGAATACAATCCTAAAGAGACCAGGAATTTTTTCCCTCGCATTACCGCACATCGCCTTTTTTGGAGGGAAAAAAAGTTTGATAGGTAATGCAAAATGGCGACCTGCAGTGACGTCATGCCTGCCTCGGTCGCGTACTGGGGCCTCAGTAAGGGCGGAAGCGGGCTAAAGCTGCCTCCAGGTACCTCAGTACGGGCGGCCCCGGCTACCTACGCAAAAGGGAAAGTATCAACGTCGGGCGGATGTGTCCCAGCGGATAATTTAGTGAGGGCGGAAGCTCTTCTTTTAAGGGCGGAAAGGCTCCAACCCAAGGATAATAGCTTCAGCGCCTGTTGCGATTCAGTCACTTCCGGGGCGGATCGGAAGTTGCTTTGTTTTGCTTCAAGATGGCTGCGGGGATGTATTTGGAACATTATCTGGACAGTAAGAGCAGGCTGGAGGAGGGGGTCAGGGGTCATAGAGTGGCGGTGGGGGGCGGGAATCGGGACTGAGGAGCCGTACGGCCCCGAAGTCCCGGTGGTCAGAAAGTCACAACTGTGAAGGGGTTCGGTGAGAGAATGTATTGGACGGTGTGAAGAAAGAGGGGGCGGGGCAGCAGGGTCGAGGCCTGGCTTTTGGGTGTAGACGAGGGAGGGGCTGCGCGGTAGGACTGAGGGGATGGCTCTTGAAGGACTAATGGGCAGAGCTGGGAAGATATTTGCCGACCCCATCTCCAGGGCCTCCAGCTTCAGGATATTTTTTTTTTCACCCCGAATCGTTCCGAATCGATTGTGTTAGTGTATCACCCACTGCCATTTGGAGCGGTGACAAAGACCTGCTCGCAGCTACTCCGCTCAATTCTTTCTCAGAAGCGGTCTCTCTTGGGCTAGGGGGCTATGAGTGACTGTCGGGTGATCAACTGGAACGCTTCTCTTCTTGGATCCAATTCCTTTCAAATAGAAATCTGGTGTTATGTTTGCCATTTGTGTAATCCACCCCTTCACAAAGCCTGTCACCCCTATGGGCTTACATTTGTCTTAGTGTTGGGAGTCATTCATTCATTCATTCATTCATTTATTGAGGCCCTGCTCTGGGTCAGACTTAATGGCAGCTACTGCGGATATAGCAAAATGAGTAAGACAAAGACCCTGCCCTCAAGTGCTCATAACAGATTCTGCTAATAAATGATTACAAAACAATGTGATGAGTGGAATCATAGAAATACATTAAAAGGACTTGATAGCACTGGAGAAAGAAGGGCTAATTACCTGGGGGTGTAGGTACAGCTTTACCAGAGGATGTGATATTTGAATAGAGTTTTGAAGACTGAGTGTTTATTTGCCAGTGTGGAGAGAGAAAGGAAATTGCTGGTTGGGAAAAGCATCAGCAAAGGTATGGTGGGTTTATGGCAGGTCAGGGAAAAGTGAAGTCAGAGTGTTTGATACATAGGACTCTAAGGTGGAAGATTGGGAAGTGGCTAGAAAAAGGCTGGGGCTGGATTGCACAAGGTCTTTTAAGCCAAGCTAAGAGGTTTGCATTTTCAATAGTGAAGAACCAACAGATTTTCTTAAGTAGAGTGATTTTAATAAATGAAGATAACTGATGTATGAGAGAAGGTGAGGTCTGAGAGAGTGACAGGAATATTTAGGAGCAAAAAGGACAGCACTGATTGAATGAGTAGTTGAGAGAGAAGGAAGAATCTAAGGTGATTCCTTGATCTCATGCTTGGGAAATGAGGTAGACAGGATGCCATCAGCAATATACTTAATTCAACTTCAGGAGTATAGCAATATACTTAATTCAATTTAGACAGGTTTAGATATGGACTGTAGGAGTGGATGAGATCAAGTTCATTCAGGGAATACAAGTAAAGTGAGAAAATGAGAGGATTAAAGTATAACCTCAAGAAAGCATTAACATTTAAGGGACAGGTAAAGAAACCATCACTATTGGAATTATCAGAAAGTATGTGATGAGACTTGGAATCCTAAGAGGAGAAAAAGTTGCTGAAGGCAAGAAGATGGGGCCATCTGCTGCAGACATATTTTTTTTTTAGATAGGACTAATAACAGATCGTTTGATTTGGTAAGTCATTGGTAACTCAAAGTAGTCTCCGTAAACTAGTGGCAGCAGACCTGAGATTATACGTTAAAGCAGTGGAGGCATTTTAGAAGTTTGAAATGGAGTCACGAGAAGAGATTTTTCTTTCGTGGGGAGACAAGTATAGATGCACTTGTTCAGGTATTTATTTAAGACCCTCTGTCTGCAAGCCATAGCAAAATAAGAGAGAAGACAGACACTTCCAGAAGGAAGGCTAGGGAGATACCAAATAACTGGTTGCACAATTAATTATTAATTGCAGTTGGATAAATGCGAACAACGGTAGAGATAGAATAACTTGAGAGCATAATCCAAGCCACCTGGAGTCTGGAGAAGTCCAGGTTGGGCTGAACTTTGAAGAACGAAGAGTTTAGTAGGCCAACAGATATGGTGGAGGTGGGATGAAGAACCCCAAGCAGCGCATTCCAGGCAGAGAAAGCAGGAGACAGAAAGCCAGGTAGCAGGACAAGCCCTGGCAAGTTGGGGGCACTCGGAGAAGACCAGTCTGGTCAGATCAGACAGAGCACAAGGGGGACTGACGTGAATGAAGGCTGGCGTAAGATGAGCATGGGCCAGAAAGTGCAAAATGGGAATAGGAATTGTGTGATAGGAAGTCACCAGGTGATTTTAAAGCAGGAGCATGACTTGACGAGGTTTACATTTTTTTTTTTTAAAGAACATTCTGAATACGATCTGAAGACCAGAGTAGAAATGTGTGTGTGTGTGTGTGTGTGTGTGCGCGCGCGCGCGCGTGTGCATGTGTGTGTGAGGAGTGCTGGAGGATACCAGGAGGGTATTTGGGTTAACGGCAAGGAGCTTGGAGGCAAAGTTTGAAAGTCAAGGAAAGGGAGGGGCTGATTTGCAGAGTAAGGTCCTTGAGGGGACAAACGGTGGGAAAGCTGTGCAGAAATGGCAAAGTTAGTTGTGGAGAGACACAGACACAGCCTCCTCTGAGAAAGGAATGATGAGTGCTGTTGTAGATAAATCCAACGGTTCCAAGGAGGGAAAACTGAGTCCCGTTTTGGACTTGTACTTTAAAAACAACTGTTAGGCCTATGAAGTCCAGTGATTCTCAGTGTCTTTTCTTCTCCCTAGGTATCGAAAACCTCCCATTTGAACTGCAAAGAAACTTTCAGCTCATGAGGGACCTGGACCAAAGAACAGAGGGTACGTACAGAGTAAGGGGTTTGTGTGTATAAGGAGTGTGGATGATCATTTCTTTTTCTCTTTGGTGTTACCATGTCATCTGGTCTGATCTGGAGAACTGTGGCTTCTCTCTTTTTTACTCTCTTGGAATTCTTAAAAGGAAAGCAGTGATAAACTGCATTCCTATATCCGCTTCTCATAGTAAATAGAGTATTGCGACAATGCCTCAAGAATTCAAAGATGTTATGTTCTTTATATCTGCAAGAAGAATTCAGAGATAAGGCAACTCTAGAATCATTTCTGTTCTCTATGTTCAATATGTCTATAGGAAGATTGTCGGAAGACTAGGATGTTTCTGCTCCACTGGATTGATAACATTACTATCAAAAAATTCATTGTGGCTGTAGACCGCAAGTCATGTTGGTAGAGAAGTCCTTAAACAGAAGGAAAGAGAGAAAGAAAAAAAAAAGAAGAAGGAAAAGCAGCAATTAACATCAGGATCTCTACACTGTATTCTTCAACCTTACAGAAGCAGTAGATACCATCTGTGGCCTCTTTTGGATGTTGAGCAAGTTTGGCTGCATTGAGGCATTCACTTGGAGCTTGAGGCTACTCTACAGTGGTCAGATTGGTCTCTTCAAAGTCAAAGATGTCGTCCGTTGGAGCCATCCCCCGTACCTGCTGAAGGATATATAGGTCTTATCTTCCACCCTTAAGTAGCCATGCTCAAAGATGTGACAAGCTGGTGTTAGAATACCCAGAGCTGTGATTTCAGCTACCCTGGGTAAGTTTACTCACGAAAAGGTGAACATCATCTAAAATCCTGGATGCAGACCCCTGAGAACTGGCTGCCAAATGCTGGGAACCAGCTTCACATCCTTTGTAACTCAGTTCCAGCTCTTGAGTTCATGCACAGAAAGACAGTTGGAGATTATCAAACTATGTGCATTTTCAGCTTCCTCCAAAGGCCTCCGATGAAATGGGGCACAAACATAGTACGTACACAGATCCTGCCAGCTGTCTGTTGCTGCACCATGCTACAGTCATTCTTTTGTCTCTTTTCATCGACATGCTTTATGAGCCTTACCAAATATTAGGCAGTAGAAAACTACACTCTCACTGTCTTGGGACATCACCAGCCTTCCAGTATGAAAATGTTCGGAACAATGTCTAAGATGAACAAACAGAAAAAAAAGTGATGGGAAATACGAACAGGTTGATGAGCAAAATAGGGTAGAAGAACTGTTACATAAATGAACTAGGGCCTAGTTTTAAATGATGAGTCACAGATGTACAGACCTGGAAGCCGGCAGCAGCAGATGACCCAGTCGGGTTCGTAGCACTCAGAGCTGTTGCGGAATGTTTTTGAGACAAGGAATCGGGAGGCCGTGAGACAAAATTCATGGTTCGAGAAGCAGCCAGCCCTGCAAAGAAGCATCTTCAGACATCAACAAAAATATACTTTGGTGTTAGTGTGGTGTGCAAAGGCTCCCTCCCTCCTTATGTTTCAATAATTTTAAGTTCCAATGGTGCTAGCCATGTTTTCAGCACCTGAAGGCACCTCTAAGACAAATACTGTCAATATGTTGCATTACTTGAGTAAATGGCACAGTACCTATGAACTTTCAGGGCATTTTAGTTCGAAGGTTATGATGATCAGTGGAAAAGGTCCAAGAAACAAGAGGAAGAAGTGTGTTTCACCTAGCCACTCAGGGGCCATAGTGACCAGGCCTCTGTCTCTGTTGTAGACCTGAAGGCTGAAATTGACAAGTTGGCCACTGAGTATATGAGTAGCGCCCGCAGCCTGAGCTCCGAGGAAAAATTGGCCCTTCTCAAACAGATCCAGGAAGCCTATGGCAAGTGCAAGGAATTTGGTGACGACAAGGTGCAGCTTGCCATGCAGACCTATGAGATGGTATGGCCCTGTTCACGGCTCCCTACTTACCTCCCATCTAATCCTTGGGGTCCTAGACCCCTCCTTCAGCTGTATTGGTTTCTGTTTTGGGTCTGGGAGATACATAGAATCCGCCTTAGCTTTTTTGTCTTTTACTGGAACTACCCTTGTACCTCTCTCTTTTCCTTCCTTCTACCTAGGTGGACAAACACATTCGGCGACTGGACACAGACCTGGCCCGTTTTGAGGCTGATTTGAAGGAGAAGCAGATTGAGTCAAGTGACTATGACAGCTCTTCTAGCAAAGGCAAAAAGAGTGAGGAGGGGGGCGGGGCTTGAGAGGTGGGCAAGGATTCAGAGGGAGAAGAAGCAGCTCTTCAGCTCCTAGGGAGGGGCAGCCGCGTGGAAGGAGGTGGAAGAAGGATGAGTTAACCCATCTTTCTGTCTCCCTGCCTTCTGGCTTCCCCCCTCTTTCCTAGAAGGCCGGACTCAAAAGGAGAAGAAAGCTGCCCGTGCTCGTTCCAAAGGGAAAAACTCAGATGAGGAGGCTCCCAAGGCTGCCCAAAAGAAGTTAAAACTTGTGCGCACGTGAGTGTATAAAGGAGCGCTTTGCCAAATGACGTATTTTTTTCTCTCCCGCCCCACGCTCGTGCCTCACGCTGCCCCTCGCCACTTTCTCTGTCTTCTGTGCCAGTAACTTCTCCTTATCCCTGTGGTATCTGCTGGATGGAGAAGAGAAGCCACAAATCCCTTGCCCCACCAGGATGTCTTTCTACCACCTGTGTAGTTTCCCTGCCTGCGGATGACATGTTCTCTTCCTCTTGGCATGCAGAAGTCCTGAGTATGGGATGCCCTCAGTGACCTTTGGCAGTGTCCACCCCTCTGATGTGTTGGATATGCCTGTGGATCCCAACGAACCCACCTATTGCCTTTGTCACCAGGTCTCCTATGGAGAGATGATTGGCTGTGACAACCCTGATGTGAGAACCAACCATTTTGCCTCCAGATGGGGTTCTGGGGGCCATGAGGGAGTGGGTACAAGAGGGGAAGACATGGTTGAATAGTGGGACTCCAGGATAAGAGGAAGGCGGAGTTGGTTGGCCTCGGGACCTCCAAAGAGGTATTCTCCAAAGAGAATACGGAATACGGGAACACTGTTCTCAGGAATCTGTGGAGGGAACTTCTTTTCTTTCCTCTGCCCTTCCCTGGCCCCTGACTTCTGCTTCTTCTGTCTTCCTCCTTTTCAGTGTTCCATCGAGTGGTTCCACTTTGCCTGTGTGGGGCTGACGACCAAGCCTCGGGGGAAATGGTGAGTGAGAGAGTTGCGGTAGGCGCTGGGCTGCCCAGGAGCTGCGTGGAGGAGGGCACTCTCCCTTTCACTCACTTTCTCTGCCCGCCTCTCTATCACGTTGCTTTCTAGGTTCTGCCCACGCTGCTCCCAGGAACGGAAGAAGAAATAGATAAGGGCCTTGGATTCCCCCACAGTTTCTTCCACATCCCTGGCCCCGGGCTAGTGGGGAGAGGAAAGCCTGTGTTGGGGCCCAGGGGCTCAGGGAGAGCGGATGGCGCAGTGTTGTCACCCCTTCTCCTTCCCTCTCCCCACTCCTGGTGCTGAGGCTGCATCCAAACCCTGGTAGGGAGGGGTGCTGCAGCCGCTAACTGTTTGTGCTCTCATTCGGCCTGCTCCCCTCAGAGGGAAGTGGTTATGCCCACTGTCCTTTCGCCTCCATGCCGAGGTTGGTGCTGTATTTCCGAGGGATGGTCCTCTTTACTCCCCTTGCTTTGTATTTAAGGACTTGGGGCAGTAGCATGGGGGCACTCCCCAGCCCTCCTAATTCCCTCCCCCTGTGGGGGGCTGTGGTGTGATCAGCTTTCTTTGTTCTCCTCCTGCTTTTTCCATGGTAGGGGCGCCCCCAGAGCATCTGGGCAGTGGCCTTAGTTGAAGGGGCACCCCTTCCTCTGTGCCAACAGGATTCATCCTGGCCTTGTGAATGGGACAGGGGGCAAGGTGGAATGCAGGTCGCTCACATGTAAAGGAATTTGAGTAGGTGAATAAAAGCTCTGCGTGTTGGTCTGCTGTGTTTACTGTAGACACTATTTTAGTACGTGTGCTAATTAAACTTTTTTTTGCATCCTCCGGGTTGGACTAGAGGGGGGAGGATGACAATGCCAGAAGTAGAACGAGACATAGAACCAGAAGTGGTACCCCTGCTCCAGAGTCCACAACTTCTCACCTTGGGGAGGACAAAGCTGGCTGGGGGGTGTGCCTCTAGGGCTTTCCAAAACTTTTTACAATTATGCATCTTTTCTCCGTAAACCATCTTTCACTTGATTTCCAATAAACATGTATTTGTGTTTTGTGCATGTACTATTACACTATTAGCTTGGTTTCTTGTTTTAAACACAAAACAGAAAAACACTTTTCCCGTATGAGGATGGATTGTCTTGCTCACTTCCCACTGGGAAACCACTTCCTTAGACTGAACCAGCCTGACGCCTGAGCACCTCCTCACCTGGACCCTGCTTGCTTCCCCTTTTGGCTCATTTCTTACCTTAAGGGCCCCTCTTTAGTTCCCACGCGGGTAGACCCGGACCTTGTTTTGTACGTTCCGTCCCTGCCTGCCCCAGAACCCTGCCTACATTCACATCTAGGCCTATCCAAACCCCAGTTTTGTCACCTGTGATACAGGGATAATAGTATCCGCTTTATGGGATTACCTTGGGAATAAGGGAACACGTGCAGAGAACAACACATGTCCCACTCCATCGAAGGTACCGAGTCAATGACAGCTTTTGCCATCCTTATCCTCTCGAGTTGGAATATAACATGTGCGGACCCATCCACCCCGGCTGGCGCGGTGAACCCCGGCGCGCGCGTCAGTTTCCGAGGCCCCGCCCCCAGCCCTTTGTGACGTCTGGGCCGCACCTTCCACTCCCCGTAGGCGAGCCCGCGCCCGCGCCCGCCGACTGTCTCTGGCTTGGCCCGTTAGAGGCCGCTTTGGTCCGGGAAACGCGGGCGGATCGACTGGGGCCATGAGGAAACTACTCGCTGGCTTCCTTCTCTCACTCCTGAAGGGTGAGAGGTTCCCGCCCACTGGAGCAGTCTCTTTCACCCGGGGCTCCGTCCTCGGACCCCCAAGAGCCCTTGCTGCAGGGTTTTGAAACGCTTTCTCAGGGTGGTCGCGTTGGCTTTGCTCCCTAGCTACTTCTGGGGTCACACCTTAGCCTCTGCCCCTGGAATCTCCTCACCCTGATCGCCGGCCAGACATCCCCCAGTTTCCAATTTCCACGGGGCCCCACCTGCCATTCGGTCTGTCCAGGGACCGGAGCCGGTTTTGGAGTTCGGTCCATCCATCCGTCTGTTTCCCTGCCCCGCAGTGCTGCTCCTGCTTCCGACATCTTCCCCAGCCCAGGATTCAATTTCGGCCTCCACTCCAGGCAGCCCCCTCTCTGCCACCGAATATGAACGCTTCTTTGCACTGCTGACCCCAACCTGGAAGGCAGAGACTACCTGCCGACTCCGTGCAACGCACGGCTGCCGGAACCCCACCCTCGTCCAGCTGGACCAATACGAAAATCACGGCTTGGTGCCCGACGGTGAGGACCAGAGTAGTGGGGCAGCCCCGTGCTCACTTGAGACCAGGGAAGGGTATGGGCTGCACCTTACCCTGAGGCCATATTCTCCACTCTGCCGACCATAGGAACCCACAGCCCCCTCCAGGAGGGAGATCCCCCTAGTGTATTCACTTTCTGTACCCCCTGCCATTCTCAGGCGCTGTCTGCTCCGACCTCCCTTATGCCTCCTGGTTTGAGTCCTTCTGCCAATTTACTCAGTATCGTTGCTCCAACCACGTCTACTACGCCAAGGTGAGGCTCCAGAAGAAGGTTGGATCTGGTGTCCTAAGATCTCTGGAGAGGTGGAGGGGGTGAGGAGTTGAGGAAGGGTTCCACCAGAGGCCATCCTTAGATCCTCCCTCCCTGCCTCTTTGCCAGTCATGTGCTCAGACTACACATGAATACGGTCTCGCCTTGGGCTTTCAGATTTGGGGAACAATCTTGTTACTGTGAGAAAAGTAGGGATGAGGCCAAGAGACAAGCCCTCCCATTTCTTCCAACACTTGAGTGACTTCACTCAAGTCAAACACCAGAGTGAAGGCAGAGGTGTGGCCTAGACACAGAGTCTTATCTCACAGGGGAACCCTTTCTCAGGTCTAGAGGGTTCCACCAGGGACCATATCCCTTCATCCCTGCCCAGCAACCGTGAGAGAGGACACATGCCAGAAGAGGACTGAGGCGTATGCGGGAGTAGAAGTCTGCCCTTTGGGAAGGGCATGCCCACTGTCCTTCTCTTCTTGCAGAGAGTCCGGTGCTCCCAGCCAGTCTCAATCCTCTCACCCAACACTCTCAAGGAGATTGACGCTTCCTCTGACATCCCACCCACCACGATGACCTCCCCCCTCTCTTCTCACGTCACAGGTGAGACCCTCCCAGCCCCTGGGAGGCTACCAGCAAGCCCTTCCACAAATCCCAGAGCCCCAGAGTTAAGAGTTAAGGCATCCATGGTAGGAAATGGGGAAGAACATTGAGCAGGGTAGGGGGTTGGCCACAGGCAGCTATTTATGTAAGCGAGGAACCTGCTCTTTATGAATACAAGTTAGGGCTTTCCCCTCCCAGAGTATCATCTGACATTGCTTACAACTCTAGGAAAAATTCACTTTTCCTAGCTCCCAAACATTCCCGCGTCTGGAAGTCCTCTGGGACTTTCATAAGCTCACAGTTTCACTCTCAAAAGGATTAGCTGCTCGCTTTTCAGAATCTTTGGTGTTGCCTCAGTGAGAGGGACGCGAGGTGGGATTTGAGATGGGAGTTAGGGAAGAGGAGCAGTTGTAAGGGAGGTGGAAAGGAGACGCCACAATCGCCGTGGTAATTATTCTTTTGCTGTGGTATTTGTACCCCCACGTTTTGTGTGCTGCACGGTGCAAGTAAGTGTCATTTGGGCTGCTGTCCTGTGCTGTTGTGTCTGTGTGCGTCTCCCTGTAAACAAAGACACTCGGGGGCCAGAAACCTGACTGTTCCTTTCCGTTCTCTTTCTCGGTCCCTCCCAACCCCTGCTGCAGCCACAGAACGACAGGCCTTCCAGCCCTGGCCCGAGAGGCTCAACAACAACGTGGAGGAGCTGCTACAATCCTCCCTGTCCCTGGGGGGCCAGGAGCAGGGGTCCGAGCGCAAGCACGAGCAAGGGCAGGAGCACAAGCACAAGCAAGGGCAAGAACATAAGCAGGAGGAAGGGCAGGAGCAGGAGGAACAAGAGGAGGAGCTGGAGGAGGAGGGAAAGCAGGAGGAAGGACAGGGGACAGAGGAGGCGCTGGAGGCCATGGCTGGGCGGCAGTCAGACCCAGAGGTCAAGTTCCAGTCTGAGTTTATGTCTTCCAACCCTTTCTCCTTCACTCCCCGGGTGCGGGAGGTGGAGTCCACGCCTATGATGATGGAAAACATCCAGGAGCTCATTCGGTCGGCCCAGGAAATGGATGAAATGAATGATCTGTATGATGAAGAACCCATCTGGAGAAAGCCAACCCGTGACAGGTACAGATGGTTCTGACTCCCCCCACCAGCCCTACCTTCCCTGCTGCCTTTTTTGGGAAGGAGAAGCTCCCTGTCCCTGCCTTTGGCTTCCAAGACCCACTAAGGCCTGCTTCAGCTTCTGGGCCACCTAGCAGCTGTCTGCCCCACCTGTTCTGTCACCAGTCATTGGCTTGAGTGCTACCCTAAGATGCCCATTCTCTACATGATGTAGCTCCTGTTCCCGAAGCTACTAGGCTTGGGGTCTGGTCTTGTCTCTGCCTCTGATGAACACTGCAACTTTGAGGAAGATTACTTCCCCTTTCTGGACCTCAGTTCCTCATTTCTAAAAGGAGGCAGTTGGGCCGGAGGCCTCTAAAGCTCCGTCGGCATGCTGAATGTGTGTGACTAAGAGCGGACACCAAAGGGGAGGGGAAAAGAGTGGATGTGGCTTTCTGCTCCGGTCCTCTGTCCCATCCCCACCAGCCAGTGCTGTCTTCTTGCAGCCTCCTGCAGATGCCTCACGTAGAGGCCTTGTTGGTGCTGTGCTATTCGATTGTGGAGAACACCTGTACCATAACCCCCACAGCCAAGGCCTGGCAGTACATAGAGGAGGAGATCCTTGGTTTCGGGAAGCCGGTATGCCTGCAATGCTGTTTAATGGATACATGCTCATTGACCATCCTCTGGGCCTGGCACCGGACTGGGCCTTGAGAGTAGGGGGAAGGTGGGGATACAGAAAGCCCGGCATCATTTCATTCTCTTCGAGTGAGAATCCCTTCCTTGGAAGGATATCTCCAGTTCACCTTAAAGGAAGAAAGCTCAGTAGGGTGCCTGGGTGGCTCACTTGGTTAAGTGTCTGACTCTTGATCTCAGCTCAGATCTCAGCTCAGATCTTGATCTCAGGGTCATCAGTTCAAGCCTCGCATTGGGCTCCATGCTGGCCTACTTAAAAAACAAAACAAAACAAAACAAAACAAAACAAAACAAAACAAAACAAAAAAACGGAAGAAGACTCAAGACCTAGTCTGGAATCTGTTCCAGTCTGGAGTTCATGCTTCAGCTGAGTTGTTGTTAGGCTTGAGTCATCTCCTGATCTAGTTCACCATCTTCAGTACTTGGCCTTGCCTTAGATGTAGCTCCCCTTTCCAGAAGAGCGATAGGACCCGTTCCAAGGATGTGTAGAAAGATCCCAGTCTCGGTGTGCACTCAGCACCAAGGAAGCCCCATTCCCAGGAAGCTATTCTGTAGGTTTTCAAAGAAGACAAGTTAGCAAACCTTTGTCAAGAGCGGGCGTGCCATCTATCCATCCATCCGATTGTTCAACAAATAATTGGTTTTTTGAGTACGGTGTACCAACTCTGTACTAGGTACTTGAGATTGTGGTGGTGAGTACACTAGACCCAATCTTCTTAGAATCTAGTGGGAGACACAGGTGAGGAAACAGGTGGAACCGTGTGAGGGATAAATGCAGCCATGGACAAGTACAAAGTGCACAGACAGCCGATTGGGGGCCCTACGGTCCATGTTTGGGAGGGTCAGAGAATTTGTCTTAGAGGAACTGATGTTCAAACAGCAGATCTGAAAATAAAAGCAGGTAAGCAGGCAAAAGAAGGGGCTTGGTAGAGGCTCCTGCTAGAGGGAATGGTAGGTACAAAGGCATGAGGGACCAAGCCCGAGCATAAGGCTCCTGCCCTTTTGGGGTCCAGGAGCCATGAGGGATTCAGTAACATTATAAAAGAAGTGTGTGGTAGGTGCTGGAGAGAGACTTTTTTTTTTTTTTTTTTTTTTTTTTTGAGTGTAGGAAGTTCGGGAGTCATGGAGAGGTCCCTGGATATCAGGGTCTGGTTAAGGGAACAGCAAGAAACATTTTACCTGGAGCAGAATGGCAGAAGATAGAGTGAGAGAGAGAGTAAGGGTCATAAGGCGAAAAATCTCAAAGGGCAATCTGAAGCATGTGCTCGGGTCATGGTCTCATGGTTCGTGGGTTCGAGCCCCGCATCGGGCTCTGTGCTCACGGCTCGGAGCCTGGAGCCTGCTTCGGACTCTGTGTCTCCTTCTCTCTCTGCCATTACCCTGCTCGTGCTCACTTGCTCTCAAAAATAAGCATTTAAAAAAAAAGCCCAACTATAGAACAGGGCTCTGATGAAAGCTAAAGGAGGTGAGGTGACAGCATTTATGGCCATGGTGCCTAGCACTGGGTCAACTCTGTAAATGATAGCATTATCATTAGCAGAGAGAGGGAGAGACAGGGAAGGTCAGGAGTCTTTTTCAGAGAGTCTAAGTTAGGAGTGCTTGTAGGTCACCCGGTGATCGACATGTGTCAGGCACGTGGCAATGAGGATTCGGAGCTCAGGAGGGAGATCCGAACTGATGATGAAGAGTTGGGTGTTGCCTGCAGAAAGATGAAGCTTACCTGGGCGTAGACACCTCATCTGGGAAGAGGGTGAAGAGATAGAGAGCTGAGGAGAGATCCTGGAGGAGCCCTCGGGGAGGGGGCAGGGAGAAAAGCTAGAGAAGCCTTTGCAAAAGCTTGAACGTGAAGAGGTTCTGTGGGGACAGCGCTGCAGAGCTGAAAGGGTCTCAGCCTCAGTCTGTCAACCACACTCCTGCCCCAGGTCTGTGACAGCCTTGGGCGGCGGCACTCAGCCACCTGTGCCCTCTGTGACTTCTGCTCCCTGAAGCTGGAACAGTGCCACTCGGAGGCCGTCCTGCAGCGGCAGCTGTGTGACAACTCCCACAAAACACCCTTCATCAGCCCCTTGCTCATAGCCCAGAGCATGTCCATCGGTACCCAGGTACCTTGCTGGGCGACCTGCAGTGGGGGAGGCCTCAGGCTCCAGGCAGGACTGGGCGGTGGGAAGGGAGGCCTGCTGGCTGGGGGGAGGGGGGCAGGGGCGTGCACGTCTCCTCTGTCCCCTGTGCCACAGGTAGGGACCCTAACATCAGGCCGCTTTTACGGGCTGGATATGTATGGTGGGCTCCGCATGGACTTCTGGTGTGCCCGGCTAGCCACAAAGGGCTGTGAGGATATTCGAGTCTCCGGCTGGCTCCAGACTGAGTTCCTTAGCTTCCAGGATGGGGATTTCCCCACCAAGGTCAGAGCCTTTCCCCAAAGTTCAACTCCATCCCACTGACCCCAGTTCCTTGCTCTAAGTAGCCCTAGGATGTGCAAGGGGGGCTAGGCCTCAGGCTTCTGGGAACCAGTCCTCCCTGCCTGCCTCTTTCCAATGGACGCCCTTCCACCTCCCCCACCTCCAAAAAAGAGAGCAGGATTGTGCTTGTCAAAGGAGCAGGAATCAGAGGGGCGGAAGGGTGGGAGAGCACAGGAAGGCAGGAGACAGGGGTTCTGCTCCCAGCTCTGCCAGTTAAGGGGCTTTGGTCAAGGCGCTTCCCACGCTGGCCCAATGTTCTACTCACCTCTACAACAAATGACTAGGTGATGCCCAAGGTGTCACTGACCTGTGACACCTGTGACCCAGTGTTTCCCAGCTTCAGTGGCATCAACTTTGCTTCCCCTCTCCCCAAAGTTACCTCCCCTGTGGAGCTCCCCCTGTAACTGACGGCCAAGTCCCTCCCTTCTGTGGCTTAGCAGGGAAAATCCAGGCAAGGCGATAGCCAGAACACCTTAAGAAAGGGCTGATAGCTGAGCCGACAGACCCCTGCCCAGCTCTTCTCCCTGGGCCCCTAGATCTGAAAAGGTTCTCCGAGACTGTCCCTGTTCCTCCCTGGATTTATGTAGAGATGGGGAGGCGAGATCCACAGAGGAGGGTGATTCACCCAAAGTCACACATGATTCTTCTACCCTCTCCCTCACTTAGCCATCACTAGAAGGCTCCCTGAGACTGGACCACAAATCGGACCCCCTTCCCCCTTCCTCAGCTGCTTTCCCAGCAAGCTGACCAGCAGGGCGGCCACTTATTCTCCGGCTCCTGGCTTTTCAGCACCAAACTGTGACTGAGGGTGGGGCAGGAAAAGCCAAGGGGACAGAGGCCTATTCCTCAGGGAGGGGGCACCCCCATTGTGGAAGGTCTGGTTCTGGAGGGCTATACCCCTGGCCCTGGTTCTGCCATTTTGGGCATTCACTGGAGGGCTGGTGTCCTATAAGCTTTCTCATGTCTCCCCACCTCCCCATTCCCGGCTCCTGGCTTAGATTTGTGACACAGACTATGTGCAGTATCCAAACTACTGTGCCTTCAAGAGCCAACAGTGCCTGATGAGAAGCCGGGATCGGAAGGTGAGCCCCTCACCCCGCCCACCCCCTTCTCCCATTGGCTCCTCGATCTGTCACCACAGATCGGTCTATTCCCAGCACCCCCACACCCTGCTCCAAGCGGCAGGGATCAGAAACAGTTCCCTGTTTGCATCTCTGGGCAGAGGCCTCCACCAGAGCACTCTCTCCCACTCCTCCTGTCTTAGAGTGAGTGAGGCCCTCCCAGACCAGGGGGGTCCAGAAGAGATGCTGCAAGTAAGAGGTGAGGGCCCAGAGGGCATGGCAGCAAGAATCCCTAGCCGGGTTGGGCATTGGCTGTTGAGGTCTTGGTCTTGCCTCCCGCTCTTACTCACCAAGTAGTCTGGAATAAGTCACTTCCTCCTCCATCTTGAGACTCCTGGCTTCTCAAAGGAGGGGGTTGGTCTCCTTGGTGTCTCTTGCCAGCCTTAAAAACCCACATCTGTTTCCTCCTTCCTTCTACTGCCCTGCACCCATGCCTGCTTGTCTCTGGTTCTTGTGGGGATGTCTGACACCTCCCCACCCCTACGCCTCTGCCTCCAGGCTCTGTGACACAGACTGTGTGTACCCAATCCCTGTGTAGGTGTCCCGTATGAGATGTCTGCAGAATGAGACTTACAGTGCTTTGAGCCAGGCCAAAAGCGAGGACCTTGTGCTTCGATGGAGCCAGGAATTTAGCACCTTGACTCTAGGCCAAGCAGGATGAGCTGGGAACTATCCTGTCTCCACCGCAGCCCGACCCTTCCACATTCTCCATTGCTTTTAGACCCCATCTGTCAGTTTGCTTCCTGGCTGCCCCTTATGGGTCTCTTACCTGGCCCCTACTCACGTTTTCCTTGGGTTGGGGCAGCAATCCCAGAAGGGTCCATGATGGAAACTCCACCCACCTTAAAGGATGGCTTTACATAAAGTGTTTATTTTCAACCTGTGTGGCCTACTTTGGTTATAATTCCATCCTCAGCACTGCCTTCCTGCCCCCTGGGAATCAACATTCCAAACCCTGGGATTTATGGATCTATCTGAAGGTGAAAGAACCTCATGAATGGTACTCGAAGAAGTAGCCATATTCCCGGAGAAGACCTAAGAAGTCAGGAAGTTGGATTGAAGAAGGCCATGACTGGGGTCTGAGGGGTTGTGTGGGCCATGCGGGCATGTGTCTTCATTTCTGAAGTCCATGACCACAGATGAGTATAGGCTTGTCCCTCTGGAGGATAAAGGCCAGAACCTGACTGAGATAATGTCCCGGGGGTGGGGGTGGGGGGACAACCCCAGGGAAGTAGGGCAGAACTTACATTTTATCAAGACAGAGGAAACAGCTGGGGCGGGGAGCTCAGGAAACGCTTGATTTCACATCCAGTGATGGGCCAGATGGTCTGAAGGTTGAGGTGGTCACATTTTGACAATATACATTGAAATGTGACTCCAGCATTGGCCTTTAATAACTTGGGATCTCCCAAAATGTGTTCTAGGGACACGTATGTTTGAGAACCTGTATAGTCTCTCCTTCTACAAGAGCACCGTGATTAAGAACATTAAAAAAAATTGGGGAACCTGGGTGGCTCACTTGGTTGAGCATCTAACTCTTGGTTTCAGCTCAGGTCATGATCTCACGGTTTGTGAGTTTGAGCCCCGCGTCAGGCTCCATGCTGACAGCTCAGAGTCAGCTTGAGATTCTCTTCTCTCCCTCTCTCTCTCCGCCTCTCCCCTGCTCACTCTCTCTGTCTCTCTCTCTCTCAAAATAAATAAATACACTTTTTAAAAAATTAAAAAAACAAAAACAAAAAAACCCCCAACTTGTTTATTAACAGAAAATTTGAAACGCACAAAAATATAGTATAATGCCCCCCATGCACCTTCATCCACCTCAATTATGAGCACATGGTCAATCTTTTAATGGTATGTTAAAGGCTCTGAGAAGCCCTGTAACAGAGAAACCTGTTCAGTCTGGTGTGTCTCAGACTTATTTGACTACGACATCCTTTTTCACCTACCACTCAAAAACTTTAACTTGTTTTTGTGTATTGAGCATGGACAACATGCCTAGCCTTGTTGATACAGAAGACAAGGGGCTCAGCCAGAGGGCACAGAGACGAGGGACTGTCCCCCAGCCCTCAGAGCTCACAGCCTGAGGGAGCCAGACAGAAGCAGGGTGGAATGGCCCTGGGCAGGGTGGGGGATGGCCATGAGTGGATAGAGCGAAACCGCCTGCTGGAACCCAAAAGAGAAAGAGACACCCAGGGGGAACTGGTGAGTACAGTGAGAGGTTGGTGGGTTAGTCATCTAGCATCAGTGAGTGGGTGTGCCAGTTAAGCTTCCCGGAAGCTAGGGAGTGTGTGAGCAATGGGTGGGGGGAATCATTAATAGGCAAGGGTTGGGGCTGGATTAAGTACCATTCTCTGCTGGGATTTCTTCTCTGGCCACCTCCGAAGGCCACTGAGGGCGCTGCTTCCTCTCTCTCCCGATCCCGTGTGTGGGGTTGGGTGAGTGCAAGGAGCTGGGACCTGCTGAGATCTGCCAGGAGAGTGTGTCCCCACCCACCTCAGGAGCAGGTCCTACCAGCCCAGCCCAGCTCAGAGCAGGCAGCGGAAGCCACAGGGAACACAGGTATGGGGGTGTCACAGGGCGGGGGGGAGGGGATTGAACCTCGTAGGGGGCACGATGGGGAGCATCCCTCCTTCAGAGTGGGGTTTGTGGGTGGGATGGAGATGAGGGTGGGCCATGGGCCCTGGAAAACCTCTTTGAATAGAGTAAAAAGCTAAAAGGGGCTGCCTCAGGCAGACAGGCCTTTTGGGGCCAAGCCAGGGGAGACAGCCACCACGCTTGGCACACCCAGGAGTGCCCCCTCTGAAGTCTGAAGCCCCTACACTGGGGCATCTTGGGGGAGATGTGACCTCCCCTTCACACTTTAGGTCCCCACCATTATGCTGAACATTGGGCTTCCCACGGCCACTTAGGAGGGCTCTCTGGTGGGGGGCGTCCAGCCCTTCCCCACCCTCAGATAACTTAACCCCCCGCTCACCCTCCGAGGCCGAGCCCTCTGCTAGATGACAATGAACTCATCTTATCGGACTCCACTAATGGGCTCACTGGCACAGATGTGTTCTCCTAGTTATCCTTCCCAGCTAACCAAGGTGCGTTTTAATGGGGCTTTGAGAAACACCACCTTAACCCGGTGCGCTCGTCTTCTATATGAGAAGATTAGATGAGATGGTCTCTAATGTCCCTAGAATTCTGATAGAATGCGACTCATGAGTGGCATGAAGGGGATGAAATTTCAGATATTGAGCACAGGTGGGGGAAATATTTGAGGGTCGGCAAGGCCTTCTGATACCCTCGTATCATACTACTAAGGGCAACTGCCTACCTATTACCTGTGTTTGGGGGGGGGGGGACCTCCCACCAGGTTGTATCTTGAGCTCCTTTTAGGCCGAGTAAGTCTTAGACCCAGGGGGAGATGGAGGTAAGGATTGGGGGGAAAATAGAAACTCACTCATACCTGTAAGCCTCACTTCCCGGGAGGCACCAGAGCCCAGCTCCTGCTGTTTCTGCCTAAGGCTGTCAGCCCTCTCTAGCCTGCTGCCCCTCTAGCCTGTGCCCCAGCCACATAGATGCCTTGTATGCCCGGGCACCCGGAGAAGGAGGGGAGGGGGGAAGCCGGGGTGCACAAATGCCTCCCGAGGTCAGAGCAAGGTCAAAGATGCCCAAGGGCTCCAGATTTCTCTGAGGGGGCAGGACCCCCACCCAGCCCCCAAAGCAAGGGTAAGATGCATATAGACTACTCCGAGTGTAGGGCCGTATAGGGCTGAGCCGGTCTGAGTGACTTCTCCGGATTGTAACTTTATTTCCTGTTTTTCCAGCTCTTGAAAGCAGGGTGGAGGGAGATGTGCAGGTGGTGAGGTGACATCCACACACGGGGAAACGAATTACTGAGCTGTAGGCCACCTTTGCTTTCTGCTGCTTCCCAGAGAAGAATGGGAGACAGGAGGTCAGAATACCCAGGGAGGGGGAGAAGACGTGGCTGAGAATGATATCAGATGGGGAAGCCAGGGGTGGGGGGGGTGGCGGGGGGAGCGAGGGGGGGAGCAGGGGGGTGGAAGGCTGGAGCAAGAATTTGGGCTGGAGAAAGCAGGGCAGGTCTGGAAGAGGAGGAGGGATGATGGAAAGAGGACCCAACTCCCCCCTGGAGGCCTGTGCCTGAGGCTCTTCTCCTTGAGAAGAATGTGGCCCCTCGGGTAGGAAGAGGCTGTCCACTGAGCCTGGCGACACTGTACTATCTCCACACCACAGACCCCTCAGATGAGCACGATTCATCTGTGTCCTCCAAGCAGCTCCAGGACAGAGCTTTTCACAAAGCCTTCAGACTTTGTTAAGCTTCTGCTGGAGGCTCCAGCATAGTTTGGACCCGTTGGAGGAGCGCGAACATTCAGGTAGTAAGAGGTATAATTTACAATTAAGCCTGTCTGTGGGTAAAGGGTACATCCTCCTACTGCTGCCTGCGCACAACAGCAGAAGTGGACTTAGCCGACAGGATGGTCAGAACCCACACCGTGTAGGGGTGGGACACTCTGGCTGGCCATGACTCCCAGCTGTGGCCTCTGGCATCGAAAATGAGGTTTGGGGCTATTCTAGAACGGATCTTCCGGGGCAAGGAGGAGGAGATCTGAGATTCCTTCTTTTCGAACTTCTGGAGGATGTGAATTACTAAAAAGAGGAGACAGAGAGAGCAAGGCATTTGGTGGATATGCAAGAGGGACAAGGGGGGTGCGCACGGGGAGTGTGGCGGACAGGAGGAGTCTGGACAAAGAGGAGTTATTTCTCTTCCCCGCCCTGCCCCCATCACTGTCTGGGATCACCTATTCCTTTCTCTTCAGCCCTCTCTGCATGGCTGGTCAGCCGCCAGAAGGGTGGACAGCACGGGCAGGTTGCGTGGAGAACAGGGAGGAATGGCCATGACCTAGCCTCCTGCCCATTTTGACTCACATTCTCACTTCCTGCCTGGCAGAAAATAGCTCTGCCCCTCTGGCTTATCTCAGCAAAGAGCAGCGCCCAGCCCAGCTCAGAGGGCAATGGAAGAGGTCCAAGAGGACTAGAGGACCTAAGGAACCTGGGCCTTGGATGTGCCCACGGGAAGCTGAAAGAGACCGAGGGAGGAGGAAAGTGGCCGTCCATGCTCTGGTGTGTGAGTGGTGTGGAGGGCGGGTGGTGTGGAATGGCCAGCTCCCGGGGCCTCCATATGCAGGGTCCCTTTTTGCCCCTCAGTGTCTTGGCCCTGGGATCTATTTGTGCACCTCTGCATGGGTATGTGCTCCTGAGGCTGCCTGACTCTGTACGTCTGGATGTGTAAGAATATTGTCCCTAAGGCAAGGGCTGGGTCTACTCTTCCTCCTCTGGCCCAGTTGTCCGTGCCTCCACACATGCACATACTTGTGTGGGAGAGGGTGTGGGCGTATAGTGATTTGTATGTTACGAGGGATCTCGTGTGCACATCTCCTAGTGTACCTACACCTCTCTGTGTCCTTGGCACATGCACGTGTGCGTAGTCGTATGCTTGTTACCACATCCGTGCGTGTTGAGG